GGACGTCGGTTCGCAAAAGGCTGACAGCTTCGACAATAAAGCAGCGGAATTTCTACAAGAAATTCCTTAGGAAAACGTCAGCTGAGTCAGCTGCTGACGAAACTTCTTGCGATATGACAACAGGAACAAATAAGCCTACGTACCCGGCGCGTCCCTTGACCCGTTCCACGGGTTCGACAGACCCTTGTCCGACTAACAAGAAACGGTTGAGAATTCTAGATGAAAGGCCGCCATCTGGTACACAGAAGCGGACCTCCCTAGCCGTTTGCAGCTGCAACTGCAGAACGCTGGCGAGGGACGAAACGTAAAACCAACTAATGGATGAAAGGTCAGGAACACTACGTAAAAATAGGAAAGTAAGGAAAGTTTCTAATTGTTGAAATGACGGCCATCTATACATGATGCAGTCAGTTCTTGCACTTCTGTTTTCGTGAAATCAATCGTCAGGGCGCTGATCTTCATTTCCACGTCCCCAGCCAGAAGTGTGTCATTTTTAAAGGCCAAATTGACAGCAGCAATGTGAGAAACACAGTCCGTTTTTTCCTGTTTCCTTCCCACCCATTTATCGAAGTAGTATTCATTTATCAACTTCGAATGAAAGGCGAGCAATGCCAACCACCGACAAAATCTAGGACCCTTCGGTTTTGATTCCGACATCGTACCGAATGAGAAACCCCGGTCTGAAAAAACGTGTGGCAAGTTACTTGCTCACAAAATTCATGGTAAAGACAAAGACTGCTCATCGCGAGAACCGGACTCGGCACCTCCGAAGCGCCAGTTCGAAGTCGACCTATTATGCACGGTGCCACCGCAAGGCCAGGAATGGCTTGCGACATCATTGGTCTTAGGGAGGCATGTCTGAGGAAAGGAAAGAATGGCACCTGGAAAGACAGTAATTCAATATGGCTAGGAAATGGAGTGGGCGCGAAGAACACAGGAAGAATCGCATCCGTAGTCAGCAAAAACACCAGATTTTGGCATGGGAGGAAGATGAAAAGTTACAACAAGAACTGGAAGATTATATAGGAGCCAGGAAGGCCGCGCTTAGAGGAAGAAGGCTAGAAACATCGAGGAATAGGGGAGGGGTGAGTAGCGGCCAGTGCGATTAGTCGCCGAATAATCCAGGTGATGTAAGTGAATACACCATTTCTCCGAGATCATAAAATGCAGGGGCGGACCGTCTTTGTTGTCATTCTTCTGTTCGACGTTTAACATAGCAAGCATAACAGATCCGCTGGGAAAACAAATGTGTAATGCAACTACTTGTTCGCAAAATTTTCCCAACTGAGGGTCAATAAAAGTTAGAAAATAAATAAAAATGACTAACCAAATCCATGTGATCACAGTCTTTCATTATTTGCACTGCGGTATTGTAGTGGACATTTTCCAAGCTTACGCCATTGGCGAAAACGATTCGGTCATTAACCCTAAATTGAACGTAAAGATGACTGGTGAGTAAGAGGACTAGAAGCCGAACATCTAGCAAAACTTACTGCAAAAGACCTAATGCCGGTCCGGACTGCAAAACATCTGATACAGCGATCGACGTATCACCACTTTTGAAATGTGGATTGTCGCGTCCTCCACTTACTGCTATACCGAATCCATAGCCATTAACCTTTAAAAGACAAAAAACAAATATTGAAGAGAACAACAATATAAAAAACGATTAACAAAAACAACGGGCCAGGGAGTCAGATATCAGCAAAAACTAACTTCGAAGTTACTGAAATTACAGCGAAATTTGCTGCAACAATTTGATGAATATGAACATACATGGACGACCGATGTCTCAGAATTTATTTGACGCAACGTTTTGGGTCAAATAACAGTGGTCACAGGAGGAACTTGAAGACGTTACCAAGCATACCAACAGTAATGGGTTTCATGTTTAAAATATATCGATACCGGATTGAAACGGCAAAAACGTACAGCGTGAAGAAAGAAAAATTCATTTCTAACTTTGCACCAACACTGCGGTGGTGTAAGATATAAAAATCTTACACCAGGAAATATGTTACGCACGCCCTCTTGCTTCTAGTAGCTTACGAGGACCATTTAGGCAGGCAGTGGCCATAAGGGCTTTCTGCAGCAACTTTCGCTGGTTTTGCAAAATATAAAAATAGAGATTTGCATATCGGCATATTTTAATAGGTTTTGCATAACTGAAAAACTTACTTTTTAAACAAAGTTCCACGGCTTATGACAGTTTTTTTCCATTAGTTGTCAGGATGATTTCCGAGGGAACGGTGACGAATTCGCTGCTCTCGCGGAGATGAGTTACACAACTTTAAAGAAAACTAGGAAAAAACAAGCCCGTGATTCCAGCGGTCATCAGTAAATTAGATAAGTTCCGTGTTGCATGTTGGAACGCTAGTTTCTTATCGAACAAAAGAAAGTTAGATATCTGCTGCGTGGCCTGTCGGTACAAACTCGATGTACTATCGGTCCCGGAAGCTCGTCTCCCAGAAAAGTACACACATTACCTGGAAAATGGGCGGTAGGGTCACAGCAGATTATGCCATCCCAGTGTAGCTATCCTCTTGGTAATCCGAACGATCATTTCCGTCGAGCAGGTGCCAGACAGGATCCTGATCTGTCGCGTACATATCAAGCAGAAGTAGCTGAGTATCAAACTGTAACTCCTGCTACGAAAAACGCATCAACTGACAGGGCAACGACACATTTAATGACTTTCCTAGTCAGTTGTTTGCGCTTTGCCGCGCCATAACGCCACAACTGTCAAAGGTG